CCATACAAAGTGCTGCTCCAAGGTCGACTCCTTCTGTAGAAACGTCCCTCTCCAGACACCACCCCAGACAGATGCCTTCGCAAGGTCCCCTCCTAAGGCCTTGCTGGGGGCTTTGAACCCCACCCCATGGGGCTTTGGTGTATATATACCATGTTGCTCAAGGCTCAGCTCCTCCCAGCAGCCCCAAGAAAAGTGTAGTATATGGACTATTTTCTGTTTGGTAATTTTCTTCCCAAAAAAGCCAGACGCAGATTGCCATTCTAATGTGATAAAGAGTCTTACTAACCCTTGAAAAATATCCTAGGCTGATGTCACAGGAAAGCTGGAGGCACTGGGGCCAGTGTATTATACTACTTGATGATTTTTTTCTTTAGATTATGTTTCATTTGTTTATATAGTACCCCACTCTCTACCCCCGCTTCAACCCCACTCCCATCATCCTCAGGATCCAGGACTGTGTCCTCACGAAAGAGGTCTGTCTTCTGTCTGATTAATTGCTGGTTTGTTACCTCACCCTAAGCTTAGGTGTCCCGGGCTCTCTGCCTTCTCTTTAGTGTTCATGTATGAACTCCTTTGCCCATCCCCAGTGGAGAATCTTCTGGTTTAGACATCCACCTGAAATTAGGGCTTCACTAATTGACTTCTCAAAACTTCCAATTCAAGGATACTCCAAACTTGCGATCTGGTACTCAGTGATGCCAAAATTCTGTATTTCTAAGATTCTGCAACTCAGATTTCACTGTGCTAGAATTCTGTGATGCTAAGATTCCATGACTATGGATTCTATACATCTAGAATTTTGTTTTGTGTGTATGTGTTTCATGAATTTGTCATTGACATAATGACAATGGCAGGGTTTTTTTTGATGATTGTTTTCCAGGCTCTATTCTCTGAATTCCGTGAGAGTATTGGAAGGAGATGGCTAGATAGGTGAAGGACGGCACTCTCACCTCCCCTGGAGCTCTAGTATATGCCCAGGGATATGCCCAGGGCAGCCCAGCACTCAGTTCACCCATCTTCCTCTAAGCCCCGCATTTGGGCTCCAGTATCTGAGGGTAGTGGGAAAAGCAAGCTTCTTTTCTTCTACTCAGCTTCCTTTTCTCCCTGGCCTAACCTGGGATCCAGGGAAAGAAAGTTTATTGGGAGACTAGCCTGGCCAAATGGGCAGGGGGGGGGTAGGGTTAAGCACGGTCACAAAGCCAGTGGAGGAGATATGGGAGATTCCCTAGGGAGCTGTGTAGCTTTCCCTGAAGGTGAGGAAGGAACAGAGGCCGGAAGTGGGGGTGTGAGTGAGGGCACTGGTAAGGGTGGGGTGACCGGTTTTGCATTGTGGGGCTGGAGCTCAGCTTCCGGCCATTGACAGGTTGATGACAAGAGACCTCCAGCCTGGCGCCCTGGGGACAATCTGGTTGAGCCCCTACCCTTTGACTCACGTTCCCCTGCCTGAGTCAGACTCCCAGGAAAACCCAGAGGGTAGGAGTCAGGGCTGGGGAACCTGATTCTCCAGGACTCCTTCTTGGGAGGGCTCAGTGAGGCCAAGAAAGGGAGCAAGACTTTCCACGGATCACACTGGGGTTTGGGGCAGAAGAAAGACTGGAATTCTAGGCTCCTGCCTCAGTCCAGAGCTGTTTCCCCTAAATTCCAAAATGTCCCAGTATTACATAATGCTCCACCAATGACAGTTTCACCAGACTCTGGGCTAGAGGAGGGGCCTGTTCCCAGGCCACCTCCCCAGAACTGTCTAGACCCCTTCTCCAGCTCCCAAGGGTTTGGTTGAAACTGACAAACCCTGTGGCTGCTGGTGGCTGGCTGGTGCAGAAAACCCTTCTCTAGTCATGGACCCCTCAGGCCACCGTTTTTTTCCCCTTCCCCTCCTAATACCACACCCCCTGCTCCTCCTGCATCTGTGCTACCACCACTTCCTCCTTTGCCTGCCTGCTATCTCCCCTGGGCGGCTCCCAGGCCTGGTGGTGGGGTCCAGTGCTGCCCTTCTCTGGGCATTTTCTCACCTATTGTTGGGGAATAAAGGACTACCTCCCAGGGATCAACTGTGGGTAGGTTCCAAAGAAAAGATATAGCAGTAGGGCATCACTTGGATGGTGGGTTGCTGCAGTGTCGGGAGCACAGCCTAGGATGTGGGAGAAAGCCCTGCTCTGTGGAATTTTGGATGTGTGAGTGTTGGAGTGAAAGGTGCAAGGGAAGGGTGTGTGCCCTTCTGGTTCCCTTAGGTCATCTCTGCGAGAGACCGAAAGAGACAGAGAACATCATCCCAAACTAAGTTCCCTTGTTACCAGCGTTTAGAGCCCTCACCACAATTTAGTGCAAATGTCTGTGTGATCTGTTTAATGTCTATCTCTCACTGAGCTGTAACTCCCACTAGTAAGAACTCCCGCTGCCTCACTCATTGCTTTATCTCTAGAACTTGGCACCCTCCCTGGCACATGGCAGGCACTACTGACTGAGACAGAGTTTCAGATTGAAAAGCAAAAGCAGAGGCACTCCAGAAGCTGGAGACCAGCCAGGTTAGCTCACCTAACCAAGGCCCCTGCTCCAGGCTGCCACATGGCCCAAGCCTCCTCTTCTGGCCTGGGAGCCCAGTGTTCTCAGTCTCCAGGGAGCTCTGGCAGGATGGGAGAGACTGAACTCTCTGTCCCCAATCATCCAGGGGGTCACCTAGACTGGGATGTGGTGGGTGCCCTCTTTCTGCAGCTGCCTCTGGGAGTCTGGAGGAGAAGGAGAGGTGGGAGCCTGGAGGAGGAGGGGCAGTGGAGGAGCCATCATTGCAGAGCGAGCTAAAAATAGCCAGAAGAGATGATGTCATCGGGTTCCCACAGCTCAGCACCCCCCTCACTCACACACATACACACTTACTCTCACAGACACAAGTGTGGGCATGCATATGTACATACGCATACACACACACATTCACTCTTGCAAAGGGGAGGGATGCTTCTGGGTCCCAGGGCCGCAGGGGCAGGGAAGCCTGGTGAGTGTGTCTGCATGTATGTGTGTGTGTACCTGTGTGCCTGGATTTGCATGAATATATTGCATGTGTCTATACGTTTGTGTGCTTGTGTCTAGGTACATAAATGTTTATAGGCATGAGAATGTTACATGTGTCATATGGGGAGTGGCTGTTCATATCTGTTTATAGGCATGTACTTGCATGCACATGTATTTATTGCATTATGTGCCTATATGTATATAAATCCCCTTATATTTACATGTCTGCATGTGTTCATAGATTGTGTCATGTGTCTTTATATGTATGGGCCTCCTTGTGGGCCTTGGGCACTAGCCCAGCCACCTTCTAGCTCTGACTGAGATTCAGCACGCCCCCCTCCCAATACCCTGAGGAGCCTCATAGCCCACCCAGCACTATCTGGGCATGAAGTGTTGGTGAATTCTCTGTCCCTCCTCTCCTCTCAGGGTCCTATTCTCTGGCAAGCTTTGGAGTAGATGGACACAGACACAATTCATTTTCTCCCCAAGGCTTCCTGAACCCCAGTCACCAGGCCAAAGGTCTCAGGGTTCACTCTCACTCCCAGCCCTCAGGGAAGAGAGCCCTGGAACTAGAGCTAGATTTTGGTACACTGAGACACACACTAAGCCAGGCATAAAGTGACATATTAGAGACAGGGTCCCCTACAATGTTTCCTGTCACTGAGACACAACACCAGGGAGACATATTCCACAGAAAACCAGTTACACCCAATGACACATGGGCTCATACACAGAAATCCAAATGGAAAATCCCCAGTCCAGAGTGCTTAGCACCCTCCCCTTTTTGGACTCAAATTCAGGCTCGCCCCACCCCCAAAGGCCAGTCCTGGAAAATACTGACCTCAGAGACTGGCTGTGGAAGGTGGTACACTCTCAGAAGCAATGCTCTCCTTCTTCAGGCTGCCCCCTCCCCAGGCCCCTTGTGACCTTTATTCCTCTTAGCAGGGCCGATGCCTCTCTCTTGTACACCCATACCCTCACAAACACAGCTTAACACACACAGCTGGCCACAGAGGCACATCTGACTGCAAAGGTGCACTCAGCCACATGTTCACTTAATACTCTCATTTTTCTGATATCAGACACACACACCAGCAGCTACACCTACACACTGACCATCCCAGGTTCACAGAGCCATATACACCACTCTTGAGCACTCACAGGATTACACTCAAGTAGTGAAATCCATCTTTCACCCTAACCCCTTCTGATCTATGCTTCTACCTCCCTCCCCAAGGACCTGGCTCCCTATAAGTTCCAAGATGTCTACAGAGACCCTTTTCCCTGTGCAGATGGGAGGGCAAGGCAGGAAGGCCCCCTACCTCCGAGGGCAGATCAAAAGCTGAAGCCAAAGATGAGGAGATGGTGTGTGTTGCTGACCTTGTCCTGTCCTTCCACTGT